TTTTTTTTTTTTCCTTTTGATCCATATTTAGGCATCACTCAAGGAAATGCCGCGTCCGAACAGACCATTCTGTTTCGCCCACACTACGGAGTACATTCCGCTCAATGCCCAATCGGCAAGCCACACCCGATCGGGCTGACGGACAGAATAGCCACGGGGTTGCATGCTGTCTGGCACAGATGCGATGATGTGTGATGGCTGTTGACTACACTCTTTCTTCATGACCGGTACCCTGGGAGGAGTTTCTGATTTATTTGAGCTTTTTCTGTGTATCTCTTACCGGTTATATATCCCAGGGCGTGCTCAAAGGGACCGAGCACAAGGGTATTGCAGAACATGATCATGAGTAAACACTGAATTTAACCAAGATATCAACCAACAAGTCTCCTAGTAATCGACCTCAAAATCTATCTCATCGTCCGGGATAGAGTCTTGCTCTTCGTCTTCGTCTCCGTAATCGTATCCGAGCGCTTCGTAGTCCACCTCCACGTCCTCGTCCCGGTCCGCGTCCGGGTCCGCGTATCCTGCTTCTTCTCCTTCCCTTTCCTCGTCTGGATCATCGGTGTCTTCTCCTTCCAATCTTTCATACACGTAGTCTGGATCAATTTTCCGGTATGCTGGGCCATCTTCCTCCACTTCTACATCCATATAACCCTCTCCTTCCTCTGAGTGCACCGATTGCACCTCTTCTTGGTATTCTTCTTCTTCGAATAGATCATCAATGTTGGCAATCTCTTGTCCGCTGGTCCTTGGCAAGGTGTCTATTCCTTCTTCCTCTGCTTTGTTGTCCATGTCTTTATTGTCGATATGTTTGATTTCTTCTTCTCCCGGGCCCTCGTTTGCTCCTTCCCGTTCCGGATGTCCTTCCACCTCATCGGCCATCGTTCCAGCATTGACGAAGCTGACCCATTCCTCTTCTGCTTCTTGTTCTTCCTCCCCATCGTCGACTGCATCATCAACTGCTTCACCCCCCAGGAGCTGACTTTCATCTTCCTGACCTTGTTCTTCTGGGTCTTCAAGCTCAGCAATCTCAGAGTCGACGACAAGTGGGTTATCGTCTCTATTTTCGGTCCCTTCTTGCGCTGCGTTGTCCCCCTCTGATTCATTCTGTATTTCTGAATCAGCGTGTTCTTCTGATTCATTATCCCCTTTTAATTCATTTTGATCGCCTGATTCTTGCTCTGGGGTTTCAGTTTCATGACTTTCGTGTTGAATGAACTCTGGGTCAACAACGGGAGTGTTCACTCCATCTTCTTTCCTTTCTTCTTGCACTGAAGTATCCGCCTCTGAGATGTTTTGTTCCTGTTCCTGTTCCTGTTCTTCTTGTTCTTCTGCTCTCACAATTTGTTCTTCTTCTTCTCCTCCTTCTTCTCTCATGTTCTCATCTTCCTGATCTTCAGGCTTTGCGAACTCATCTTCAACAACATTGGCGTTGACATCCTCATCTCCGCCTCCTTCTTGGTCGGTATCGTCAATCGCTGCACCATCTGCGGTGAGCTCATTTCCATCTTCTTCCACAACAACCTGATCTCCGTACGCGACAGGTTCCTCAACAACATGCTGATCTTGATTCTGCTCCTCGTTGCCTTGATCAGCTCGCTCTACTGACTCAACACCGGCGTGCAGACCTTCATCTTCCTCCTTCTCCGAACAACCCTGGTCTTCTTGCTTGTCTGATCCATTTTCAGCATGCTGACTCTGCTCCTCCTCCTCTCTCTTTTCAGCCACTACATCCCTACTTTCGGGCGCATTGTCTGCTTCCTTCTTTGTCTCTTCTATGCTTGTTTGTTCCGTTGGTCCAGTCGCGACGTGCTGATTCACATCTTGATATTGAGCTTTGTGCTCAATAAAATCAGCATCCAGTTGACGACTTCCATTGTTTTCTTGCTCTTCGTTCTGGACATCTTTCTCTCTTGTCTGCACCGCTTCCTCGTCCTTTTCGATGACCTCTGCTTCCTCCTTCATATTTTCCTGGATTTGCTCTTTAACAGGTTGAAGTTGAGAATCAGCAAGTGCCTCATCTTCCTGCTCTGCATCTGCCTGGACATCTGGCTTGATCAGGGCATCGCCAACACCTTGTTTCTTCTTACTCCTGATGCCATCCTCCTCCTCATTTTGTTCTTGTCCAGCTGGTTCATAAGCAGCTTGTTGAATCTCTTCCTCCTCTGGGACGCCTGCATATTTCGGCCCAGCTGAGCCAGTGTCAACACGCTGTTTATCATCATCTTCTACCCTTCCCTGGTCATTCTGCTCATCTGTTTCAGCGTCAGCGAGCTGACTCTGGTCTTCTTCTCCCCCATCATGTACCTGGTCTTCGTTCCCCGATCGTTCGACAGCATCGTTCTCACTCTCCTCCTGTATCACTTCATCTTCCGGAGCTTCTTGTTCGATAGCTCTGGTGTTGACATGCTGATGCGGTTCGCCTTCTTCTTTGAGGACATCTTCCTCATCTTCTTGTTCAAGTGGTTGAGCATGAACAAACACGTCTTCTTCTTCGGCTTTTTCAACATCAGTGTGCTGTTTCTTGCCTTCCCCTGATGCTCCCTGGTCATCTTGTTTAACCGCAGTGTCAATATCATGGGTTTCTATTTTTCTCTCTTCTTGATGGACATCCTGATGGTCTTGTTGTTCAGCTGATTCAGCATCGACATATTGCATTGCCTCATCCATATCCACCGCATCCTCCTGCCTTTCTTCTCCATGTGTTTCCTGTGGTTCCTGATTCTCTTGCCCTAGCTCCTCTTCATCTTCTTCATCCACTTCCCCCTCATGTCCTTGGGTTTCCTTTGTCTCATGCTGAATTGCGTCATCAGCATCCTGCATCGATTCTTCGGCTTCTTCATCTCCTTCTCTTACCTCCTTTACCTCTTCTTCAACCTCCATCTCATCCTCTTTGCTTTCCTGCTCCTGAAATTCAGCTGCCTCATCTTGAAATGTGTCATCAGCAACCTGCATTGTCTCTTCAAACTCTGCTCCTTCATCCCCTTCTTCGTCTCTTACCTCCTGACTTCCCTCACCAGCTTCCTCCTCTTCGCTTTTCTCTTCCATCTCTTGATCTTCATCTACCTCGCCTTGTGATATGTTATCAGCCACTTGAATCGCTTCTTGAAATTCGTTGTTTTCGTCGTTCTCCCCTGCCCTTACCTCCTGGTTCTCATCCTCGTCCTCCTCCCCATCATCCTCATCTCCTGCCTGCCAATGTCCTTCGTCCTCGAATTCTTCGTCCTCCTCATCTTCATTTCCCACATTTTCACCTGCCTCCAGGTCCACAACAGCAGCGACGGAGACACCGCGTTCCTGTTTGATTCTGATCCGGTCTTCTTGAGACGCCACTCTTCTTGAGGTAGCTGTGTAGCCATCCTCATCATCACTAGCAAGCGTGATCCCGCTTTTCCTACTTCTCTTCCTCCGCCCACCAACACCTCCTTGATCATACTCTTCCTCCTCGAGTTCTTCCTGCTCGCGCCTTTGGGCAGCCTCGGCTCTCTTCAACCGGCGCAGAAGAACGGGATCACTTCGCAGATCAAACTCGGTCAAAACCACCTCGCACACCGGACATTTGACACAGTGCACGCGGCGCGCACGTCGGCCCGCGTGTCCACTGGACGAAGCGTGTCTCGGGTCCGGGGCGGTGGTGCGGCTCTGCGCAATCATCGCGGTGATAGCCTCGCGCTCGAAGCTATGCGGGCATTTGGTGCTGGTGACCGGATCCTGGAAGGGGAGGAGAGTAAGCGGGCACTTGAGAGAAATGCGTTCACGGGAAATAGCGATGTCTTCGTCTGAAGCACTTTCGTCATCGACATCCTCAGCGGAAGGATTTTCGGCGTGGCGAGAGGTAGTCGACATTCCTGATACTGCGCTTGTCGCGGCGCCCCTGCTGCTGGTAGCCGAAGTTGTGTGTTTCTTGTCGGCTACATCTTCGAGGTGGGCGAACCAGGTCGAGGCATGCGGGAGTGGGGGAATATCATCACCCGGGTGTTTGGCTTCGTGGATGATGCGATAGAATCCGATATAGGCGTTGTTGGTGGAGTATCTGATCGCCTTGTTAGTCTCTCGTCTTGTCTCAATGAAAAAGGAAGCAGGATTGACATACTTCTGGGTGAGCGACAACCCACTCCACTTGTCCTTCGTCGCGGTGACACTCTCCTCTATCTTGCCCACCAATGTCGGTCCGGGATTCTCTTCGTCGTTATCGCCTTCCTGGCCCTCCTCCTCATCGTCACGAGCATCAGCATCCTCCATTTCCTCATCCCCATCTTCATCCCTCCTACTTCGCCGACTAGTTCTCGTCGATCGACTCCTAGTAACCACCGCGCCATCCACCACATTCACATTGCCGTCCAAGCCCCGTAGCATCTCACTCAGCCCCTCCAGTTTAACCTCCGCATCAATCGCACCCCGCATCTTCTGATCCAATTTGGCAGTTGTAGCTTTCACTTTTTCTTTGAGCGCGGCCACCTCCTCCTCATCATTATCATCATCCTTTCCTTCCTCAGCGTTCCGCTCCTTCTTCCGGCGCATCCGCTCCTCTGCGTCCGTCAGCCGCTCGTTGATATCCCCGGCCGCCTCGGTCAACTTTTCCTGCGCATGCTGGAGATGCGTCTTCAGGTTCCGGAGGGGTTGGCTGGTCAGGAGGCCGAGGAGGGCGGCGTGTGAGGTTGCGTAGAGGGTCAATTGGTCGGACTTGGGGTTGGAGATGGTTGGGGGCTGGTAGGGTGGTGGTTGGGGGATTGTGGAGGAGGCTGTGGTTGTGGTGGAAGATGAGGAGGTGGGTGCAGGTTCGTTTCGGCGGCGGAGGGGCATTCTGAAAGAAGGACTTGCACTTGCAACACGTATATTGGTTTGGGGTTGTAGACGCTGCTGCTGCTGCTACTGTTGTTGTTGTGGCTGTTGCTGTTGTTTCTGATATTGCTCTCTGGTATAGAGAATGTGTTTGATGTTAGGTTCTTAGGTGATGAGTGTAGGAGCCGGGGTCAGTACCGTCAGATCCGACTTGTTCTGCCAACAAAATCGCTTGTTGATCAGAAGGGGGGTTAGCCGTACGTGCTGTGTGGTTTTGGTCTTGGGTGTGGTCTGGTCTGGTGGTAGTGTGAGGGCGTTCTTTGTTCAACTTCGTGGACAGACCAAGTCAAAGAAACGATAGATCCAAACCAAAAGAAACCTGTTTCGTTTGTTCAAGCACCTACCTGTTTTACCTTTACCGTTACCTATTACATACACTGCTGCGCTGCGCCGTCGCTCGCGAGATGAAAGAAAGCCAGAGCGCGCAAAGAAAGACAGAAACGCGCCGCGGTCACGCTAGTATGGTTCGGGTTATAGCTGATTTGCACTTTGCGACAGTTCTCGTTCCCTTATCGGCGCTTATCGCTTTTTATCGGGGCGGTTTATCGGGGGGTGGTTGTTTATCGGTGGGGCGCGCGGTACTTCCTGTACCTGAGGTACAAGTGGTGGTTTTTCTGCCACCGCCCAACTTGAACAGTTTTCGGTGCCTGATTTTCGGGAGCTGTGCATGGGCGGATGCCTGATTTGCGCTCGCGAGGTTGCTGGCGTTCTGCCGGTCAAGTGCCGGCCAAGGCGGTGGGGGTTGGAACAGTTTCCTCGCCGAGTTTTGAGCCAGCCGGCTGTTTTGACCACTTTTCTGCCGTTTGGACGGCGGTCAGGGAAAGAACCCATTCCCAGGGCCGAGTTTTGGCCGTGGCATCGACCGGCGTTCGCTGTACTTGGTAGTGGTTAGGATGGTTGACACATGTTATCTTCACTTGGTTCTGAGCTACTCCTGGTGACGTTGCTTGAAGTATGATGGTTCAAAAGACTACATGCATTGAATTGAGTGAACTGTAGCTAGTTCTATTGCCATCAATGTAGATATAAGAGCAAAGTGCCAAGCTAGGGCTAGACCCATCATCCAACTAGACCTTGTAGAAACAGAAGGCGTGGTAGAAACCTATAGCGTCTTGTTAGCTTGGCTAATACGACCAGCCCTCCGAAGAGTAGTACTTACTGACTGCCTCCTGCTCCTCCGCCGTCATGCTGAGTTGCCCGGTATTGCGATCACGCACACCCATGCGCTCACTCAGAGGCCCCAGCTCGGCATCGTCCTTCTCGTCGCGCCACACTTCCAGGAACGGCTTCCGATACTGCAACTCCAGGTTGTACTCCTCCGTCAGACTATCTCGCACCGTTAGCCATGTCCATACCGATATACCAGACTAAAGAAGAAGAAGGTAAAACACGTACGCTCGGAATGCTTCCCACGGCACCACGTATTCCGGCACCTCCTCCACAGCCTCCTGCATGAAGTAGTTGTACCTCCAGCCGAACGGCGGCCGGAAGATGCCATCTTCGGGCGTATCGCCGGGGAACCGCACGCGGTAGATGGAGTTGCCCCATTCGACCTTGGTGGTGTCCTCCTCGACTTCTCCGTCCTCGGGCTCGGCTTCTTCGTTCTTCGACGCCGCCGCCGCCGCCTCCTCGCGCGCCTTGCGCTTAGCGTGGCACTCGGCCACCTTGGTACTGATAACATCGGAGTTCGGGCAGACACCCAGGAACCGGCCGCCCTTCTTCAGACAGCCGGCCACATTGCGCAGCATCTGCCGGGCCTTCTCCTCGCTCTCAAACGCATAGTGGATCGCGAACATCGAAGCGACCACGTCGAAGCCACCGCCGCCCCAGCGCGAGCTCATCACGGAGCCCCCGGGTCCCGCGTTCGGATCAATCCCCACCCGCTGCACAATGTCGATATCCCCCAGCCACTCTCCAAAGCAATCCTTCGGCGCGAACTCCGCGTGGAAACTCGGGCCCCGGCCGCCACCACCGCCCCCACGACCACCGCGCGGACCTCCGCGTCCCGACCGCATCTGACTGTATCGTTCGCGCGCCTGCACGATGGAGACCTCGGCCGGATCCAGGCCCACGTACAGATCCACCGGCTGCGGCGCCAGCTGCCACTTGCCCAGATCGCCGCCCTTGCCGCAGCCCAGGTCGATCACCAGGAGCTTCTTCTGCTCGACGGGCGGCGGGCCCGTGCCGTCGGCCCAGTCCTTGGTCCCGATCGCGCGGGACACAAACTCCTCATCCGGCGAGAACTTCTGGATGAGCGTGCTCTTGACCCAGTTGTTGAAGCTGCGCAGGCCCTTGATCTTGCTCTCCGTCTTGCGCCACTCGCGGCCCCGCTGCGGCACGGCGTTGTAATGCTGCCGCACGAGGTCCGTCACGCCCCGGATCTGCGAGTTGCGGATCGCCTCCTCCTGCTCCGTGCGCTCGCGCTCCTCCTGTCGCCGCCGGAGGGTTTCCCGATCCACCAGGCCCATCCGCGCGCCGCCGCCGGGCCGCTTGCGCGGGCGCGACTGGGCTTCCGGGGTCGGCGACCGCGGCGGCATGGGCGGTGAAGGGGATCGGTTCTGCGCGTTGCGGTTGGGGCCCTCGTCGTCCCGGTCGCGACGCGAGTAGGCCGATGGCGGGGTGCGACCGCGCTTGCGGAGTTTCTGGTGGCGCTCCTCCACGCGCTTGCGTTTGGAGATGGACCGGTACTGTTGGTCTGTCGTCGTTGTTGTCGAGGCGGCTTCGTCTTCGGGGAATTTGCGCTTGTAAGGGTCATGGCTTTCCCGTCCGTGGTGGCCGCTGGGCGAGGGAGAGCGGACGGGCTCCGAGTACGAATAGTCGCCCATTTTGGCGGAGGGGCCTGGTGGTTGGGATGGGGGTTTTGGTCGGGTTGAAGTTTGGGTGAGGTTGCGAGGAGCGGGTTTGTCGGGGAGTCTTGCAGGAAGAGTTGGAGAGAGGGGGGCCGGAATCAGTGAGATCGGAGACTTCAATTGTGGCTCATCTGTGATCTTTTGAGTAGCAGTGAGTTTATGGTAAAGAATCAAGTTAGGTGAGACTATTTTCAGTCTTGATGGAGCGATGAAGAGCAGAGATTTCACCGCAAGTGCAGCAAGCAAGCAAACAAAGCCGGCCCCATGTCGGGGAATCACCGCCTCCGACGCCACCGCTCGCTAACCGCAGACTCCACCGGGAAGAGGTTCCTGCAGTAGTGTTGGTTCGGGGGGAGGGGGGGGGGTTTGCTTGAGGGGGATATGCATGGGGTACTGGGGGTTCATAGCACGTACTCTTTGTTGTTGTTGGTCTTGTTGTTGTTCTTGTTGTTGAGAAGAAGTGATGGTTGAACGAGGACGGATTGGGGGAGATGGAGAAGACAAGGCGGCCGGCGGAACAACTTCCGCCTTCTCTTCCCAGCGATCCCGTGCCGGATCATACATGCTGATGCTGCCTCGCCCACCACTCTCGTGTGTTGTTGTTGCTTCATCGGTGGTCATGGTGACAGTACACAAGAAACTCCCCGATGAAACATGACGTGGACGTGGAAAGGGGCATTCAAACCCGATGAGTCTAAGGGGCCTCTCCGTCTTTTTATTCTCCCGAAATTCGTGATGCTTGTGGTTTCCCTGGTTGGAGGCAAGCCCCAACCGTGTTTCTCTTTGGCCGCATCCGGACAATCGCAGCAGCACCCGGTGCTGCTGAAGGAGTTGCGATGTACAGTACTGGCCTGTAATTCAATTCTACCAACTGGAATGCTTACTCACAAACAGCTGCTAACCTGCTACTACTAGGTAACTACTCCCAGAACCCTGAATTTGTCTACCTGGGACGGAAGATCAGATAATAGTCTGGAATATGCGCCGTGAAACAATCCAACACCCCGTGGCATACTTTCTCCAGCGGTCCTTGTCCCCCCCCGGGGGGAAACTCGAGGTGGAAATTCTTCACGATGGTGGCCACGACAAGTCGCATCTCCATCATCGCAAACTGCTTCCCCGCGCAGGCATATTTTCCAGATGAGAAGGACTTGAATGCTTCCTTGCAGAGGATCATCTCCGGCTTGCTCGACCACCGCTCGGGGACGAAGCTATCCGGGTCGACAAAGTTTCGTGGATCTGTGGACTTGTCAGCTGTGCTTACAGGCTCTTTGAAGTCAATGGGGAAGTTCGAACCTCGGTGGATTGTGTAAGTAGGTGTAGAGACTATTGTCCTTGGAGGGATGTAGACTCCGGCGAACGTAAGCCCCTCGGGGCCAGTCTCGCGGGGGACACCGCTCGCCACGCTAGGATACATGCGAAGACCCTCGTTGATGCAGCTTTCCAGCCATGGCTTGCCTGCTAGCGCAGCATGGGTGAGCTCCTCGCCCGCAGGGATAGAAGAATCCACCTCCTGTTGCAGCTTCTGGAGCTTGTCTGGATGCTGGGCCAACAGATACAGAAGCGCACTGACCGTCGCGGCAGTGGTATCACTGCCAGCAGTGATTGTAAGCTCCGAGTCGTAGACCAAGTCTTGATCTATTTCGCTCTTCATTTGGCCTTCATTGTTGGCCAGAGCTCCCTCGATCAGATAGCTAAAGAGGTCCTGATGGTTCAGCTCCATCTGTGCCCGATCAGCACGATCCATTCATTCGGGTTTTCCCGACGTGCCCCCTACGTACCTGTTTCCTTTTCTCCAACTGTTCGCTACACCAGTCCAGCCAATGCTGGTTCTTGGCTCGCAGGACCGGGGCATTCCGCACCAATTGAGCAATCCAGCTCGCGCACTGCAACACGCTCGCAATGCGACCAAGATCCTTCATCTGTTGTATGTTCGACGGTGGAGCGCCTTGGAGCATATTGAACGATTTGCCAAATGCAAGGACGCCCATGGAGTCCCAGGTGAACGCGGCAACCAGCTCATTGACTTCCTGTTTGTGCGGTGCCCGGGAGGAGATCATCTCGGCCAGAACTCTACAATGGTCCAGGATGAAAGGCTCGTAACCGGCCAATGCTATCGAGCGGTGTCAGACCAATCTTGATGGGACGGTATCAGCTGGGAGGGGGCATAGGCAGGAAAAGCACCTCGAGGACTAAACCCACGATCCCAAAGCCGCCTCCGCTTTGTATGAAACGCCTTGTCTCTGGTCATCTGCAGGGAATGGTTGGGATAATTCAGGTCGTAGAACGTGCCCTTGACGCACGATGTCCCCGGCCCGTGTATAGCCTTGATGGCTGCTGGATCATCTATGGAGATCTCACGTGGTTCTAGCGATCCGGTCAATCGAATCTTCACTTTTGTAATCTCCATCCAAGATGTAAGTCTAGCAGTATTGATGAAAATTACATACTAATCCGAACAAAGGTCCCATATTGGCGATGGAGCTCTTGCACCCGGAGATGCCATTTGGCATCGATGACCGCCGCCTTGAGCGAC